TATATAGTAATCCCTCCTATTGTAATAGCTCAAATGTGCCATATCCCCAGGCAGTGTCACTCGGGAGAGGTTATATAGTTCTGTGGTAATGACTAGCTCTAGAACAGAGATCCTTTTAACCATGCTCTAAAGATAATGTCTCTATGGCCATTCATATCTCTATGGCATCTACTTGTAAACTACAAAGAGAAAAAGCAGCTTTTGGAGGTGGTCCATGAAAGGGAAAGAGAAACCCCACTCTGAGACTGTGAGATCATACTTACCTGAGTTGTGGTGGCAGCTTGAATCTGTTACGCACATCATCGAAGCGGTTGCCCAGGTAAGGGGTGTCCACAGTCACAAATATTGCCTTGTAACCCATCTGCTCAGCTCGCTTCACTAGCTGCCTGCTGACCTCACGGTCTTTGTAGATGTACAGCTGCATCCAACGAAGTGCCTCGGGGCCAGCCTCTGCCACTTCTTCTATTGAGGAGGTGGCCCAGGAACTCAGCATCATGCCTGTCCCCATGGTCTGACAGGCTGGAATATTAAGGAGAAAAATCATTGTAGACACGGCACTGCTCTTTCTCTTAGACTGGGGTTTCATTCAAAAGGGAAACACCTCTGCAAATGCAACCTGTCAGTGTGAACGCAAATCTTTAAAAATAAATAAATAAAACATGCATTGATTTTTCACTCTGTGTTATTGTATATTGTGAATAAGGATAAGTAAATAACAAAGAATTGCTGCAACTTTGGGTGTAAATAACAAGATCAACCTGAATGACCATCTTGAGGAACTGGTTATACTGTATGCAGTTAGAATATGAAATGAAATACATACAACCATTGGGCATAGCACTGCTGTGAAGGTTAATTTTATGTGTCAGCTATCTAGGCCTTGGTGCCCAGATATTTGGTCAAACAAATCTGAATGTTAACCATGAAGCTACTTTTAGATGAAACTAGCATTTGAAGTAGTAGTAGAACTGAGTAAAGCAGATTGCCCGCTGTTGTATGGCTTCATCTGATCTATTGACGTTTTAAAATATGACTGATCTCTCCCAAGAAAGCAAAGGAAATAATCCCAGCTGACTGCCTTTAAACTTGACATTAATATCACCTTTCATCTGGTCTCCAGACTACTGACTAGTCTGGAGATCTGGGGTTTTAGTGTCTCCATAATTATGTAACCCAAGTCTTAAAAATGAGACTCTCATAAACACAGATGGATATAGATAGATAGATAGATAGATAGATAGATAGATAGATAGATAGGATAGTGATATCAGATATCTAGATTTCTATACTGCAGGACAGATCTTATTGATCCCATCTCTCTGGAGAACTCCAGCTGTTCTAATTATAAAATATTTACTGACATACAAATACAATGAAGATAAATAGATATATTAAAGTGAAAAGTTCAAAAAAATAACATGTATGCCATGGTTCCACACTTCTTGAAATTATAGCTCATCCAAGCAAACTAAACATTAATGAGCAATAAAACCACGGGTGAGTTCATGTTTTCCTTCCTTTCTATATTTCTAAATTTCTTTTTAAAAGCATTTACTAAGACACATTCCCCCCTTGTATAAATGTGTGATCTAGATATCAAGAGCAAAGTCATCCTTTTGATCGCAGTAACAGTGAATGAGAAAAATGTCTTAGAAGATGTTAAAGGACATTGATGATGGGGTTTCCTCCCTAATAGGAAATACGGTAAATGAGTTCAGTGGAGGGGAGGCTGATTTGCTGTTTGCATGCTATACGGGAAGTTCCAAGAAATAAAGCATAAATACCCAATGCTGGTTACAGAATCCCAAATCACTCATAACACCTGAGTGGTCACCTTGTGTCAAATGACAGTGAATGCACTTGCCCAAGTGACACTCGTAGGATGATGACGGAAATCAAGTAAGATGGTGATTGTGAAGTTTCTCTGAGGGTTTCAAGAGTTTCTATGCTCAAATTTTAGCCAACAACCAAATCTCCTGGAAAGCTTATAAAAGTGGGCCTCGTGGTCCCACCTACTATGTCTTATTATGTGGGTCTCCTGTTGCACCCCAAAGATTAAACTAGTCCATACAATACAACGCTGCTGCCACCTATGCTAGACCACACTTAGACACTGAAATACTAGCATCAGCGGCTGATAGTAAAAGTCTAAGCTCAAATGCTTTTAAATGCATTTCATTTGAAATCCTTCACATCACTTCTCTAATACCCTTGATGGTGTCTTCATTCCGAACAAGACACATGAGCTGAAGAGCATCATCCCTTTGGGACAGTGCTCACCCCAGGAGCTCAGTTGAGCTTTTCTATAATGGGTTCTCGGGGCTGCAAATCACTGTCCATTAGAAACACATTTTACTAGGTAATAATACATCTGGATCCTTGTCTGATTTTCATTAATTTAGAAATGTGGAAACAGCACCAGGGGACAGTGAGCACTTGGGTCAGAATATTCTAACCAGCACTTCACCACAAAGAGACGATGTCCTGAAGAAGATGTGGCCTGACTAACGTCATAAAGGGCTGAGCAGCAAGGAAAAACAAAAACCCAGTGTGACCGGGCGGTGGTGGCACACGCCTTTAATCCCAGCACTCGGGAAGCAGAGGCAGGTGGATCTCTGTGAGTTCGAGGCCAGCCTGGTCTACAAAGGGAGTTCCAGGACAGGCTCCAAAGCTACAGAGAAACCCTATCTTGAAAAAAAAAAAGTGTGTCTGTTTGTATAGGACTGGTATCCATGAGAGTCTCTGGCAACCAAGCACAGATAAAGGTAGCTCCTGACAAAGGGATGAGCAAAGGGGACATTCAGATAATCTGGAACTTTTGTGAATTTAGCAGTGCACACAGCCGCAGCTCTGCTGATTGTAACACAGAAATCTTCAAAGACTTTCCTTAGCATGTAAGTATCAACAGGCATTCTACAGAGATTGTGACAATGTTCAAACCATTCACAAATCATATGAACACAAAACCTAATTTGCTTAGGATGTCAGCATTCTTAAACTCTTTCCCACAATCACTTGAGTCCAGATGTTCAGAGAGACCTTGGGCAGCCCATGCCTTCATTACTCCCACCTGTTCTGGAACTCATGTCTTCTAACTTCCTTTTTCCTCCAACATAGGGGTCCCAACCCAGGGCATGCTATTCACGAAGCTGTTACTGAGCTATGGCCCCAACCACCATGTTTATTTTTCATCAACTAAAATCATAGAGGCTTAAATTTGGAATTGAGGACTGTACATCCTATGTCACCATCGTTTCTGGTGGCAAGAGTTTGATAAATATCTGTGATTTAATGAGAGTCGCCTGGGAGCCGAGGGAGTATCAGAATCTGGACATCAGTGAACCATCTGCTGAGGCGAAGCTTTCACAGCCAGGAGAAAGCATGGAGAAATCGTAAGAAGTTCCCTGTTTCCTGAACAAATATGGTTTATCACGCTGATTCTTAGTCACCTGTGATTGCTCGCTGTGTCCAGGGAAAATTACTAATGCATTATACCTGTTGGATTTTTTTTTCTTTTTTTGCCATCTGTTCTCATCTTAAACTAAAGGAATGCAAAATTTTACAAGGCCCATTTAGAACTAGAACTGAAAATGTCTATCCAAGTAAGAGCAGATCTAAGAAGGACCAGTCCATGCCAGTTTGATATTTATACAACAATATACTGGTTTATATTACAGACCAAACATCATGGCACATGCCTGTTATTCAGCACTTGGGAAGCTGAGGCAGGGGCATTTCAGGTTTAAAACTAGTCTGGATTTTATGTTACAACAGAGGAAGTTGAAGGGCAGCCTCAGCTGCACAGTATGCCCCAATCTCAAAAATGAAAACAAAAGCTTCCATTCTAATAGGCAAGTAATTATCATTCTTCCCTTACTTTCCTTCAAATTTACTAGAATATTTTATCATGTCACCAGTTCCTCCCTTCACTAAGGGTTCCTCGGGGCTTTCACATACTGGTAATTTTCTAACGTCTGGCACGCCTTGCAGGAGCCACACCTGTTACAGCAAAAGAGACCGGTGTTCTAAGCATCACTTTGAACGAGTTAAAGCCCATTGCTGTGCCGGATGCTAAGGAGAAACCCTTCCAGCTCACCATGCACACTGGAAATAAATATTACAGGTTTTAAAAATTTCATTAGGACCTGAACGTGGTTCAAAGTTCTAGTCAGAGAAATCCTCTGATAACTTGCACACAAAGCTCTGCTCATCTTTTCATTCCCAACTGGTTTTGAATCTCCCTGTGCAGTCAAAATCCATTACCTCCCACTCACAAAGGTAGGAATGGTCAGATTTCAGTCTACAAAGGATGGCCTTTGGCTTTCCTCTCTATTTCCAGATTTGTGGCTGCTCCCTGCACAGCTGCAAGGTGACTATTTTCACACAGCCTGCAGAAAAGGGCTCTCAGCCAAGGCACTGTTGGTAAGAAAGCTCAGCACGGCTCTTTCCAGGGGTGAAGAAGATTCATGGTAATCAGCACATCCTAAAGATAACATATCCACAGCCAGTGAGATGGTTTAGTGGGTAAAACACTTTCCAGGAAAGCCTTATGACCTGAGTTCCATCCCCAGAACCCACATAAAGGTAGAAGGAAAGAACCAACTCCATGAAGTCATCCTCTGACCTATGCACACACATACACTTTGGCATGGGTGCACGCACATATCAACACACACAGATGATGCTGATGATAGTAATGATAATAATAATATTAAGACAATATGTTCAAAACACAGTGCCAAGTGAGCATGAATCCCACATGACCTCTTAGAACTTTGCTTTCCTATTTTTACTGCCTCTTTTATCACCCTGAATGTATAATTCAAAGAACAGCCCTTTACTGGAGGAATGCTATTTGTTTCTTTGGTTTCTTTGAATAGCCCAGCCTGACCTGAAATTTGGTATGTATTTTGGGCTGACCTTGAACAAGAGACCCACTTTGTCACTACCTCCTAAGTGTTGGGATTTCAGATGTGTGGCACCATGACCAGCTAAACTTTCATTTTAAAGGTTCATTCATTATTCTTACCTTATTCCATGACTATTTTCCTGCATATTTGTGTGTATGTACGTATGCACTTATGTATGTGTGTATATCACAAGTGTGCCTGGTGCCCACAGAAGCCAGAAGATGGTATCAGATCCCTGGAACTGAAGTTGCAGGTAGTTGTTGGTTGCCATATGGTTGCTTAAGAATTGAACCCACAAGAAAAACAACTGCTTTGAACCCCTGAGAAATAAATCTAGCGCCCCAGCTAAATTTTTGATAGTCTAGGTTAAGTCAGAATTTGTTGATATACTTTGTGTTCCTTTCTTCTCTTTATTGGGCTGTAAGCAGTCATATGTTATTCCATTGTTCTGACGCAAAGACAGACACCCATACATAGAGACAGCAGTGTGGTCATGTATATATAGGCATTGAAAACAAAGACACACACACACACACACACACACACACACACACACACACATATATATATATGAATGAGCCGGGAGATAATGCTGATTTCTCAGAATGG